TTTTTTTTTTTTTTTTTTAAAAGACGGGTTGCACCATGTTGGTCAGGCTGGTCTTGAACTCCCGACCTCAGGTGATCCACCACCCTTGGCCTCCAAAGTGCTTGGATTACAGGCGTGAGCCACTGCGCCCGGCCTAATTTTTGTATTTTTAGTAGAGATGAGGTTTCACCATCTTGGCTAGGCTGGTCTTGAACTCCTGACTTCATGATCCACCCACCTTGGCCTCTCAAAGTGCTGAGATTACAGGTGTGAGCCACTGCACCCGGCCCACAAGTGTACTTTTAAGACACTTTTTTTTTTTTTTTCAAGGATCAGAAATTTTTCAGTAGCAGAAACTATTCTGTGACTGATGTAAAAATTCTGCTTCGTTTTGCAGTCAGTGGTTACATAGGTGCCTTCGAGATGATAGCTGTGATAATGAAGATATGAGGAAAGGTGACATTCTTGGAGAGTCAAGTGCTCTGACTTCATTGCATTTGCTGGAGGGGAAAAAAAGGGCACTTATTCTAACCAAAGGGTTTTAGACTTGGGAGTGCCCCATTCTTGATGTCCAGTCTTACTCATAAGTAAAGAATTTCAAATGAAACCACCATTTGAGGCTGGGTGCACTGGCTCATGCTTGGAATCCCAGTGCTCTGAGAGGCTGAGGCCAGAGGATCACTTCAGCAAATGAAAGAGGAAATGAATTTGAGTCCAGTCTGGGCAACAAAGTAAGACCCTGTCTCTATAAAGAATCAAAAAAATTAGCCAGGCATGGTGGCGTGCACCTGTGGTCTCAGATACAAAGGAGGCTGAAGTGTGAGGATAGATTGATCCCAGCAGGTCAAGGCTGCAGTGAGCTGTGTTCATGCCATTGCACTTCTAGGGTGACAGAGCAAAACCTTGTCTCATTCAAACAACCAAACAACCCACACCATTAGAGACCCAGTAGAGTGGCTCTGCCTGTAATCCCAGCACTCTGGGAGGTCAAAGTGGGAGGGTCACTTGAGGCCAGGAGTTCGAAATCAGCCTGGTCAACATAGTGAGACAACATCTCTACAAAAAAAATTTTTTTTTTAAATTAGCTGGGTGTGGTAGTGTGTACTTCTTGTAGCCCCAGCTACTTGGGAGGCTGAGGCAGAGGATTGCTTGAGCCCAGGAATTTGGGCCTGCAGTGGGCTGAGAGTGCATCACTGCACTCTAGCCTGGGTGACAGAGTAAGACCCTGTCTAAAACAAAAACAAAACCAAAACAAAACAAAAAAAACCAACCCATATTTGCGATATTATTTTTATGTATTAGAACACCCAGGAGCTGAGACATGAGAAAAGAGGCACGCTTACACACTGGTACTGGAGCATAAACTGGTATAAACTCTTTTGAAAACAACTTGGCAATATCTATAAAAATAAAAAATTTGCCTGTAATCCCAGCACTTTGGAAGTCCGAGGGCAGATCACAAGGTCAAGGGTTCAAGACCAGCCTGGTCAACATGGTGAAACACTGTCTGGTTGTGGTGGCATGGGCCTGTAATCCCAGTTACTCTGGAGGCTGAGGCAGAAGAACTGCTTGAACCCAGGAGGCAGAGGTTGCAGTGAGCTGAGATTGTGCCACTGCACTCCAGCCTGTGTGACAGAGCAAGATCCCGTCTCAAAATAAATGAATAAATAAAAATTTGCATGCCCTTTGACACAGCTGTTTTACTTCTAGGAATTTATCTCATAGAATAGATACACTCAGGATTGGGTAAAAAGAAACATGGAGAAAGATGCTCATTACAGTGTTGCTTATACTAGTATGAGATTTTACACAACTTGACACAATCAATAGGGACCTGGTCAAAATTATTATGGAAGGCCAGGTGCAGTGGCTCATGCCTATAATTCCAGCATTTTCAGAGGCCAAGACAGGAGGATCACTTGAGGCTCAGAATTCAAGACCAGCCTGGGCAATATGGCAAGACCCTGTCACTACAAAAAAATTTAAAATTGGGCAGGCATGGTGGTGCACACCTGTAGTCATAGCTACTCAAGAAGCTCAGACTAGGAGGAACACTTGAGCCCAGGATCTGGAGGCTGCAGTGAGCTACGATCACACCACTGTATGTTGCCTAGGCAACACAGCAAGACCTTATCGCAACACTGACAAAAAAAAAAAAAAAAAAAATCATTATGGTACATCCATACAATGAAATAGCATGCAGTTATTACAAAGATCAGGATAGATCTAGATGTGCCAGTATACAAAAAACCTCCAAAAGCATACTTTATCAAAGAGAATACCTACTATTCTATTTTTGTAGAGAAAACATTATGCATGTGCAATATTTCTGTGGGCCGAGCTAAACATCTAGAAGAATAAATATTCACCAGTTCTGGTTAATAATGTATACCAGTCAGGCGTGGTGGCTCACGCCTGTAATCCCAGCACTTTGGGAGGCAGAGGAAGACAGATCACAGGGTCAGGTGTTTGAGACCAGCCTGGCCAACATGGCAAAATCCCATCTCTACTAAAAATATAAAAATTAGCCAGGTGTGGTGGCGGGTGCTTATAATCCCAGCTACTCTGGAGGGTGAGGCAGGAGAATGCTTGAACCTGGGAGGTGGAGGTGAGATTGCCTCCAGTCTGGTTGACAGGGCGAGATTCCATCTCAGAAACAATAATAATGGTTACCATTAGATAGCAGGATCTAGGGGGTGAAAAAGAACTTCCAGTTTTACAGGGTGGGGTGGCCCACACCTATAATGGTAACAGTCTCTACAAAACGTTAGCCAGAGGCTGGGCGTGGTGGCTCACGCCTGTCATCACAGCACTTTGGGGGGCTGAGGTGGGAGGATCACGAGGTCAAGAGATCAAGACCATCCTGGCCAACAAGGTAAAACTCTACTAAAGGTAAATCTCTACTAAAAATACAAAAATTAGCTGGGCATGGTGGTACATGCTCGTAGTCCCAGCTACTCAGGAGGCTGAGGCAGGAGAATTGCTTGAACCCTGGAAGCAGAGGCTGCAATGAGCCAAGATCGTACCACTGCATTCTAGTCTGGCAACAGAGTGAGACTCTGTCTCAAAAAAAAAAAAAAACAAAAAAAACCATGTAGTGAGCCAAGATTGCGCCACTGTACTCCAGCCTGGGTGACAGGGAAAGACCCTGTCTCAAAAAAAAATCTTCCAGTTTTAACTTTGTATTCTTTAGCAGTTGTTCAATTTGTTAGGGTGCTGAAAGCACAGGATAATTTTTAATTTTTACTTCTATTAATTTTGTAGTGTTGATTTTACAATAGCTTTAAAAAAATCATTTATTTTTGTTGAGACAGGGTCTTACTGTTGCCCAGGCTGGAGTGCAGTGGTGTGATGTTGACTCACTTCAGCCTTCGGCTCCCAAGCTCATGTGATCCTCTTACCTCAGGCTTCTAGGTAGATGGCACTACAGGTGTGCACACCATGCCCAGCTAATTTTTGTATTTTTAGTCGAGATGGGGTTTTACCATGAGTCTGGTCTCAAGCAATCTGTCTGCCTCAGGCTCCCAAAAGTGCTGGGAATACAGGCGTGAGCCACTATGCCTGGCTGGTAATTTCAATCAGTAACAATTATCTTCCCAAATAACAGTAAATAAAGAATGTTCTCGCCATGCTGTCCATGAGTTTTTTGCTCCATATTCAACATCTTTTGCCTTTTTTTTTTTTTTTTTTTTTGGGGCGGAGTTTTGGTCTTTTTTTCCCAGCTTGTGTGGAAGCGGAGACAGGAGAATTGCCTGAACCCAGGAGATGGAGGTTGCGGTGAGCCAAGATCACGCCATTGCACTCCAGCCTGGGTAACAAGAGCGAAACTCCGTCTCAGCCTCCTGAGTCGCTGGGATTACAGGCACGCGCCACCATGCCCAGCTAATTTTTTGTATTTTTAGTAGAGACGGGGTTTCACCATGTTGACCAGGATGGTCTCAATCTCTTGACCTCGTGATCCACCCGCCTCGGCCATCTTTTGCCTTTAATTCCTGCCCAAGGCCAGAGCATAGAACATCTCCAGCTTAGATACAGTTTCCTTCCTAACTGCCAGTTCTTAGCCACAATGGTTCAAAGAAGCTGAAGGCTCTGGATGGTAGAAAATTGCTTTAAACAGGCAAAAATGGAAGATATCTCCACACACTGCAAGTGCACAGACATCAGAAGAGAGCACTGCATTCCACATGGCATCCATCTGGTATGAAACCCCACATTTTTTAATAAATGAGAAGCCGATCCGGCTCTGTGGCTCATGCCTGTAATCCCAGCACTTTGGGAGGCCAAGGTGGGTGGATCAGGAGGTTAAGTAATCAAGACCATCTTTGGCCATCATGGTGAAACCCCGTCTCTACTAAAAATATAAAAAATTAGCCAGGTGTGGTGGCATGTGCCTGTAATCCCAGCTACTTGGGAGGCTGAGGTAGGAGATTCGCTTGAACCCAGGAGGCAGAGGTTGCAGTGAGCCATCGTGCTACTGCACTCCAGCCTGGGCAACAAAGCAAGACTCCATCTCAAAAACAAAAAACAAAACCTGGGCATGGTGGCTCATACCTGTAATCCCAGCACTTTGGGAGGCCAAGGCTGGCAGATTACCTGAGGTTGAGAGTTTGAGACTAGCCTGATCAACATGGAGAAACCCTGTCTCTACTAAAAATACAAAACTAGCTGGGTGTGGTGGTATATGCTTGTAATCCCAGCTACTCAGGAGGCTGAGGCAGAAGAATCGCTTGAACACAAGAGGCAGAGGTTGTGGAGAGCTGAGAGTGTGCCACTGCACTCCAGCCTGGGCAACAAGAGCAAAACTCTGTCTCCTAAATAAATAAATAAAATAAACGAATGAGAAGCTTGTTCCATACCTAGGGAGACTCCTGAAAACTGGTGATACATAGATTTCAAAATGAGGGTGTTTCCACAGGAATGAAAGAAACTGTCTGTTTATAGAGCCAGTTACAGCAGAATAGACTGATTATACTTACTTTCTTTCCACAGACTGCTTTTCTTTTAGGAGATCATTTAGTTTATGCTCCAGATTATCACATTTCTCAATTGTTTCTTTAAACTTGGTCTTCATGTTGTTAATCTGAAAGAGCAAATAGAAATCAGACTCATTTCACAAAGGCAATGTAGTATGGTCTTTGGGGCTAACATCATACTTTCCTAACTTTGACAAACCAAAATTAGAAAAGGTGAGATACGGTACTTTCTAGGCAGGGAAAAAAAAATAAAAGAAAGAAAAAGGTGAGATAATCATTTGAAAGAATTTCTGTAATAGGAATAAAAATGCTAGGAAATCTCTTTTTTCTTTTTTTGAGATGGAGTCTTGCCTGTTGCCCAGGGTGGTGTGCAGTGGCATGATCTTGGCTTGCCGCAACCTCCTGGGTTCAAGCAATTCTCCTGCCTCAGCCTCCTGAGTAGCTGGGATTACAGGCATGCGCCACCATGCCTAGTTAATTTATGTATTTTTAGTAGAGATGGGGTTTTCACCATGTTGACCAGGCTGGTCTCAAGCTCCTGACCTCAGGTGATCCACCTGCCTTGGCCTCCCAAAGTGCTGGGATCACAGGCATGAGCCACTGTGCCCGGCTGGGAAATCCTTTTTTTTCTTACTATTTCTCTATATCGGGGTGAATAAGGGATCAGGAACCTCTGAATGTCCAGTGAAACCACTGGAAAGTAAAGAGTGAGCATCAGGTACTACATCAGGGGCTTCTCATTCTTTTTTTTTTTTTTTTTTTTTTTAAAAAAATGACGAGGTCTTGTCATGCTGCCCAAGCTAGAGTGCAGCAGCTTATTCACAGGTGCAGTCACAGCTCACTACAGCCTTGAACTCCTGGGCTCAAGTGATCCTCCTGCCTCAGCCTCCAGAATAGACTGTGCTACCTACCACATCCAGCAGAGCTTAGTCACCACTGTGTTTCTTATATTATTTATAGACAGAGTCTTGCTCTGTCCACCCAGGCTAGAGTACAGTGGCATGATCTCGGCTGACTGCAACCTGTGCCTCCTAGGCTCAAGTGATCTTTCCACCTTAGCCTCCCTAGTAGCTGGGACTACAGGTGCATGCCACCACATCTGGCTTATTTTTTTTTTTTTCAGACATTATCTCGTTCTGTCGTCCAGGCACCTGCAGCAGCACGATCTTGGCTCACTGCAACCTCTGCCTCTCAGGTTCAAATGATTCTCCTGCCTCAGCCTCCCAAGCAGCTGGGATTATAGGCATGCACCTCCACACGCGGCTAATTTTTGTATTTTTGTTTTTGTTTTGTTTTTTTTTTTGAGCCAGAGTCTCACTCTGTCATCCAGGCTGGAGTACAGCGGTGTGATCTCGGCTCATTGCAACCTCTGCCTCCCAAGTTCAAGCGATTCTCCTGCCTCAGCCTCGTGGGTAGCTGGGATTACAGGTGTCTGCCACCGTGCCTGGCTAATTTTTTAATTTTTTTAGTACAGATGGGGTTTTGCTATGTTGGCCAGGCTGGTCTTGAACTCCTAACCTCAAGTGATCCCTCCTTAGCCTCCCAAAGTGCTGGGATTCAGGCATGAATCACCAGGCCTGACCTAAGTTTTATTTTTTTTTTATTATTATTTTTTAATTATTTTTATTTTTATTTTTTTTTGAGACGGAGTTTTGCTCTTGTTACCCAGGCTGGAGTGCAATGGCGCGATCTCGGCTCACCGCAACCTCCGCCTCCTGGGTTCAGGCAATTCTCTGCCTCAACCTCCTGAGTAGCTGGGATTACAGGCACGCACCACCACACCCAGCTAATTTTTTGTATTTTTAGTAGAGACGGGGTTTCACCATGTTGACCAGGATGGTCTCGATCTCTTGACCTCGTGATCCACCCGCCTCGGCCTCCCAAAGTGCTGGGATTACAGGCGTGAGCCACCGCGCCCGGCCCTGACCTAAGTTTTATATTTTTTTGTAGAGACAAAAATTGGTAGTCTACAAAACTTGTGACAGTTGACTCTAGTCATTTGTTTTTTCAAATTCACAATTTTTTCATGTATCATGAAGCCACATGGAACATAAGCAATCCATTTTTTTGAGTCTATTTATGAAAACAATATCCATAGACTCATTCAAATTACACAGCCTTAAAAACAAGAGAATTAAAAAATTCTGATGTATAACATGTCAGATGGCAGCAATCCTAGACCAGAGTATGTCGGAATCTGGCTAGGTAGATACTGGATCCCCTCCTATGCAAAGATCTGCAAACTTGGTAATTTCCTCAACTCCTCTGGTCTAGGACACTGGCAAAAGATAGGTGGGAAGGCAAAGTGGGGAGGCTGGGTGGACCACAAGGCAGTAATAACAGGAACTGAAAGTGGCTGAGAATTTAAATCCTATGGCCCAGGCATCAGCTGGGTGTTTCATAGGCAGTATCTCGTTTATTCCTCATAGCAAGCGTGTACCTTGTAAGTCAACTTCTGATAGAAACTGAGGCTTGAGAAAGGTGAGGCATTATGCCCAAGGTCACCCCGCTGGCGTGTGGTAGATACAGAACTATATCTCAGGTTTGGGTCCAAAGCTAAGTTCTAAACCTCTGTCTACATTACAAAGAAGGCCAAAACTCTATAGTGAAGGAAAAGTGACTTCTGGACTAGATCTGAACTTAGCAGAGGTCCTTGTGATGCCTTCCCTCAGGAAGATGAAGCGTCACTTCTAACCTTTCTTTTTAATCCTTTTCCATACAACCTGCCTAGCAAGTCTCTCATAGCACTAGCTTTAGTAATAATAATAAACGTTTTATACAATTCAACTTTACAGCCAACCTCCATTGGAAGAACATGAAAGAGAGATTTCTAAATGTTTTTCTATGCCATAAAAATCAAAGCAGCTTTAAAATTGCTCGAATTCTAGTTTGGTATTCTCTTCAATATTACTTTAAAAAAACAGAGCACTAGATCTTTTGATATTTTCTTCTAAACTGACTCCTGTCAGTTCAAGGAAGTTGAAAAGGACAAAAGTTACTATTATAAGAAACCAAACTGTACATTTCTTAATAAAGATACTTAAGCCAAATACATTTATATCAACATGAAAATATAAAGGTAACCCTAAAATGGTTTTTAGTATTGCTACAGACAAACGTTAACAACTATTTAAATTAGTGCTTTTTAAAACATTTCTGGGCCAGTGTCATGGCTCACGCCTGTAATCCCAGCACTTTCAGAGGGCCATGGCAGAAGGTTTGTTTAAGCTCAGGAATTGGAGATCAGCCTGGGCAACATAGTAAGACTCCCCATCTCAACAAAATTTTTTTTTTTTTTTTTTTTTTTTTTGAGACGGAGTTTCACTCTTGTTACCCAGGCTGGAGTGCAATGGCGCAATCTCGGCTCACTGCAACCTCTGCCTCCTGGGTTCAGGCAATTCTCCTGCCTCAGCCTCCTGAGTAGCTGGGATTACAGGCACGCACCACCATGCCCAGCTAATTTTTTGTATTTTTAGTAGAGACGGGGTTTCACTATGTTGACCAGGATGGTCTCGATCTCTTGACCTCGTGATCCACCCGCCTCGGCCTCCCAAAGTGCTGGGATTACAGGCGTGAGCCACCGCGCCCGGCCGCAAAAATTTTTAAAAATCAGCCAGGCACAGTGACATCCTCCTGTGGTCCCAGCTACTTGAGCCTCAGAGGCTGAGCCTGAAGCTGCAGTGAGCTGTGATGATGCCAATGCATTCCAGCCTGGGCAACAGAGTGAGATCTTATTTCAAAAAACAAATGAAAATTTCTGACCATTAGCACACAGTAAGAAACACCCATGACACATACAAAAGTAAAACAAGTTTCACAAAACAATATTAATTGTGATACACCCTAATATTTACATCTACCCTATCTATGTAATAAAAATGCCAGTTGTGGACTGCCAAACTCATTTTACAATCCACAGCTGGAAAAATACTGGTTGAGATGGAGCTAGACATCCACAAGAAAAGATGCATTTTTAGGGGAGTTCACCTTACGACTGCCTCTGCCTACCATGTGTTCTTCACACATGATCCTATGAAAACTAAGAAACTTCAAGTATCTGTGAGCTTCATTGTCTAGAATAGGCTCTGCTCACATGCTATAGTAACAGCACTACCTAAGGCACTGGGGGAAAGAAGCGGTGTTTATAACTGAAGCCTGCAGTGAATTTCAACCTTGATCCTCCTCATCCACAGGAGGCCCAAGAACAAAAATCTCTGTCAGTGAGACCCAGGGTTCGGGTTACTGTTTCTCCCTGAACATGTTCTACTGCTGGGGGTGCTAACGGACAAGGAACTAGCCAAAAGGAGGACGGTGGCAGGACAAATGGCTTGCATCATCCATTAACTTATGGATAAGTGACATTTGTTACCAGAAAACAAAAGCATCCTTTCAAGCACCCCCAAGCTTTTTATTTAGAGCTGCTCTGGCTTCCATTTTATCCTGACCTAAAAGCAAACATGAGTTTCAGTGTTTCATTTCCCTGCCCTTTGACTTGCTTTTCACTGGCATGTTTTAGGGAATGCAGTTAATCCTGAAGAATCTGAAAGGGCAGAGAGAATCCAAAGCTTAGCTCTCAAGGATCTGCATGAAGCACTTGAGATAGTCACGCTGGTATATCCCATGGAAAAACCCATTAGTGCAGCTGCAGCAGAGGTGTCAATGCACTTTCCTGTGAGCCATGACTTTATGCCATGAGGCGATGACCTGTGCTCTGCCTCCAAGAGCATTGGGTGGCGCTCCTCCCTGCACATACTCTAATCAAGCCCTATTCAGAACTAGTAGTCAAGTGACCTCCAGTGCCTTTGGAAGGGCACTTGTGTTGATTTCATCAATAACTTTTAACTGAAGATCATTTTAAAGCTGATTTTTTTTTTTTTGAGACGAAGTCTTGATCTGTTGCCTAGGCTGGAGTGCAGTGGCGTAATCTCAGCCCACTGCAACCTCTGTCTTCTGGGTTCAAACAACTCTCCTGTCTCAGCCTCCTGAGTAGCTGGGATTACAGGTGACTGCCACCACACTCAATCAATTTTTGTATTTTTATTAGAGACTGGGTTTTCCCATGTTGACCAGGCTGGTCTCAAACTCCTGACCTCAAGTGATCCACCTGCCTCAGCCTCCCAAAGTGCTAGGATTACAGGCATGAGACACTATGCCTGTAAAGCTGATGTTAAGCTTTTTTTTTTTTGAGACGGAGTTTCACTCAATCTCGGCTCACCGCAACCTCCGCCTCCTGGGTTCAGGCAATTCTCCTGCCTCAGCCTCCTGAGTAGCTGGGATTACAGGCACGCACCACCATGCCCAGCTAATTTTTTGTATTTTTAGTAGAGACGGGGTTTCACCATGTTGACCAGGATGGTCTCGATCTCTTGACCTCGTGATCCACCCGCCTCGGCCTCCCAAAGTGCTGGGATTACAGGCTTGAGCCACCGCGCCCGGCCCCGTTAAGCATTAATGTTAAAAAACCTTGATTTCGCCCATTTATGGCATAACCAGAAACTGGGGCCCTTGGTTCTGCCTGCTAAGCTCCAGGATAATCCTATCCAGCTCAGAGGTGGGCTCTGTACTGCTTATCTGAAGGCCCAAGGATAGGTGGGGGACTCACAAAGCTACTGAAGTAATCGCTGAAAACTTTTTTTCTTTTTCCCTTTTTTTTTTTTTTTTTTTTAGAGACGGGGTTTCACCATGTTGGTCAGGCTGGTCTTGAACTCCTGACCTCAGGTGATCCACCCGTTTTGGCCTCTCAAAAGTGCTGAGAGTATAGGTATGAGCCATCATGCCCAGCCATTGTTGAGAAATTTTACAAGATTTTATTTCAACTAAGGGAGTCATTGAATTACAGATAATGTCTCTATGTCCAGAGAAACTGTCCCTATGTCCAGAGAAAGGTTCCTAGAGCCATAATTATACACAGGTGCTTACTAGTTTTCAGACTGCCTTCTTTAGAACTCTCAGGGTTCCTTGCGCATAGTGGAGACAAGGGGAAAGCCAAGCAGGCAGACCTCTGGGCCTTCCATCTGAGTTCCACCAAAATCAAACCACTTTTTAATTTTGCTAAAACAGTGAATGGCATCATTTTTAAAGAATTATTTTGTTAGAATTTGAAAACTGCTGCCCTGGTCCTTCAGGGTGAATAATGAAGCGCCAATATCTCTGCCCAATTTTATTTCCTTCCATTTAGAAGGGCTCTGCACCATTTCATTGCCTTAGAAGTCCATTTTCAGCCCCAAAGGCAGCTGTTCCCAAGCTGACAAACCAACTGCCTGACTCAAATAACAAAACCTCATGTACATACTTGTACTTTTTAATGGAACTGCACAGGCATTAGAAAACCAGATTGAGGTTAAAAAAAAAAAAAAGCAAACAAAGCCCCCTAAGACCTCAAAATACCAAAACAGTCAAGCCTTTAAATCCAAAGTTTCTTTTTAGTGGCAAAACAATTCTCCAACTGTTATCCAACTGAGAAGGGAAGATGTTAAGATTCCTCTTTCCTGTACTCTGCCTTCCACAATCCCCATCAGAGTACCCTGCCATGTGGCATTTCAGCAGACACCAAACCAAACAGACTTACTTACTTCCTCTGCTGTGTCCTTCTCTATCCGAACTATCTTGTTTTCCCAGTAGATTCGCTGAGATTCCAGCTGGCTTGTTAGTAAATATGAATACTAAAAACATAGAGAATAAACACCAAAATGTAAGTCACTACTGTCAGTCTCTGAAATCCAATTTAAAAATCTGATCTTTAATGATCCACAGAAAACTAAAACTAACCAACAGAATGTATATTTACGACCTGGTTCCACTCTACTCAATATACCCTGACTCAGGGGACAGAAATTACAATTATGCTTCTGTCCTCCTGGGGCTTACAATCTAGTCAGAATAAATGTACTTATTAAAAAATTTACTCTGGCTGGGCGCGGTGGCTCAAGCCTGTAATCCCAGCACTTTGGGAGGCAGAGGCGGGTGGATCATGAGGTCAAGAGATCGAGACCATCGTGGGCAACATGGTGAAACCCCGTCTCTACTAAAAATACAAAAAATTAGCTGGGCATGGTGGCGTGTGCCTGTAATCCCAGCTACTCAGGAAGCTGAGGCAGGAGAATTGCCTGAACCCAGGAGGCGGAGGTTGCGGTGAGCCAAGATTGCGCCATTGCACTCCAGCCTGGGTAACAAGAGCGAAACTCCGTCTGCGAAAAAAAAAAAAAAAAAAAAAAAAAAAAATTTACTCTGGCCCTGTCTTTATTTCCTTCACAATCGGCTGCCATTCGAGGAGCTGAGGAAGCCTAGAGCTCTCAGGAGCAGTCTTTTGAGCTGGTATATGGGCACTCAAAATGGTCCAGCATTTGGCATACCAACATAAGCTTTCCTACAATACAGCCTCTAACAAAACTAGGCTGTCCTGAACCCCTCTTAATAGAATTGTTTACCTTTATACCAAGAAGGTTGGGAAAGCACCTGTGGCATGTGCCCAGGCAGACTTAGAGGAGTCTGTGCTGTCAGACCTAAAGTTCTCATAAGTTTGTCCAAAACAAAGAAACATGTCAGTAGGGCCTATGGTAGTTCCACATGTGCTAAATGTGTTCATGACACGATCAAGCACACTTTCCTTATTGAGGAGCAGAAAATCATTGTGATTGTTGAAGGCGCAAGCACAGAGTCAGAAAGCTAAATTAAACATGAAACTTTTTTGAGGATTAAAAATGAAAAGACTTGCTGTAAAAAAAAATTTATTCTGGTCAAGCTGACTTTAAGAAGAACCATAGTGGTTTTCAATTTATGTATAACTCGAACCAACTTACCTGTCTCCCTGCCCCCAGGAAGCAGTCCTGTCCCATCCTGTCCCACCCAGCACTTGGGTCAGGTACCCACGCTCAGCTCCCTTAGCACTGTGCCTATCAGTAATAGGGCTCAGGACAGCGGCACTTCATCACCAGTTTATCTGCCTGTCTCCCTGACTGGACTGTGAACTCTATGAAAGAGAGGATAACATCTCTACTTTGGTATCTCTAGTGCTGGCACATGGTGGACGTCAAGAAGTGTTTGCTGCATGACTGCGTGAATGAACAGTCCTATGTAACCACATGGAAGGGACAGATGGCATATGACAGTAAGATCTGAGAGAAGGCAAGATTTGAGAGGGCGCTGACAGATAGGAGGAGAACAGATAAAGATAGAGATCCGGCTGGGTGCAATGGCTAATGCCTGAAATTCTAGTACTTTGGGAGGCTGAGGCAGGTGAATTGCCTGAGCTCAGAAGTTTGAGACCAGCCTAGGCAACATGGTGAAACTCTGTCTCTACTAAAAATACAAAAATTAGCTGGGCGTGGTGGCATGTACCTGTAGTTCCAGCTACTCAGGAGGCTGCGCCAGGAGAACTGCTAGAACCTGGGAGGCGGAAGTTGCAGTGAACCAAGATTGTGCCACTGCACTCCAGCCTGGGTGGCAGAGCAAGACTCCCTCTCCAAAAACAAAAAACAAAAAAACCCAGAAGTCCAAGTGCAGAGAACTAGTTGGCCAAGACAAATCTGTGGTCATTAGAATCTCTTCAGAAATGAACAAGTAAGGCCGGGCGCAGTGGCTCACGCCTGTAATCCCAGCACTTTGGGAGGCCGAGGCGGGTGGATCACGAGGTCAAGAGATCGAGACCATCCTGGTCAACATGATGAAACCCCGTCTCTACTAAAAATACAAAATATCAGCTGGGCATGGTGGCGCGTGCCTGTAGTCTCAGCTACTCAGGAGGCTGAGGCAGGAGAATTGCCTGAACCCAGGAGGCGGAGGTTGCGGTGAGCCGAGATCGCGCCATTGCACTCCAGCCTGGGTAACAAGAGCGAAACTCCGTCTCAAAAAAAAAAAAAAAAAAAAGAAATGAACAAGTAAAACTAATGAGGCTGGCATGTCTGGTTAGGAGAGATGGGACCAGCGGAAGGCTTTGGGGTATTATATTGACAAATATGGGCAACAGAGAACCCAAGGCCAATGGGTGGCAAGGATGCAGCTCCATTTTGGATAAAACATTCTAGAAGAGTAGAAGGGATCTAAACATGTCTGCAGGTTACAAGAGAGGGCAAGGAGAAGAATGTCTATGCTACTGAACCACAGGTTCCATGAAAGCAGGGAGTTTGTTTAATGCTGCATTTGCAGCACTTGCACCAGTGGCTGATAGTAGCCTTCAGCAAATTATTTTTCTTTCTTTCTTTCTTTCTTTTTTTTAACTGGGTCTCACTCTGTTGCCCAGGTTGGAATGCAGTGGCACAATCATGGCTCACTGCAGCCTCAACCTCTTAGGCTAAGAGATCCTCCTGCCTCAGCTTCCTGAGTAGCTTGGACTATAGCCACATGCCACCACACCTGGCTAATTTTTTTCTAAACCTTTAGTAGTGACAAAGTCCTCTTATGTTGCTCAGGCTGGTTCGGAACTCCTGAACTCAACTGATCAAGCCCTGGCCTCCTGAAATGCTGGGATTACTAAGGCACCATGCCTGGCCAATAAATAGTTCTTTTTTTTTTTTGGGGGGGGGAGATGGAGCTTCACTTTTGTTGCCCAGGGTAGAGTGCAATGGCGCCATCTAGGCTAACTGCAACTTCCGCCTCCCAGGTTCAATCAGTTCTCCTGCCTTAGCCCGGAGTAGCTAGAATTACAGGAGCCCACCACCACACTCAACTAAGCTTTTTTTTTTTTTTTTTTCTTTGAGATGGAGTCTCACTCTGTCACCAGGCTGGAGTGCAGTAGTGAGATCTCGGCTCGCTGAAACTTCCAACTCCCTGGTTCAAGTGATTCTCTTGCCTCAGCCTCCAGAGTAGCTGGGATTACAGGCACGAGTCACCATGCCCAGCTCATTTTTGTGTTTTTAGTATAGAAGACGTTTCACCATGTTGGCCAGGATGGTCTCGATCTCCTGACCTCGTGATTCGCCCCCGCCTTGGCCTCCCAAAGTGCTGGGATTATAGGCGTCAGCCACTGTACTCAACCCTAAGTTTATATATATATATATGTGTGTGGATATAGATATAGATATAGATATAGATGTTTTGAGACGGAGTCTTGCTCTGTCACCAGGCTGGAGTGCAGTGGCGCAATCTTGGCTCACTGCAACCTCCGCCTCCTGGGTTCAAGCGATTCTTCCGCCTCAGCCTCCCAAGTAGCTGCGACCACAGGTGCATGCCACCATGCCTGGCTAATTTTTTTTTTTTTTT